TAAAGAGTCCTCTCCTGCTGATGTTCAGGTGTATATCAGTATGTAGTGTCTCTACTTTAAAGAGTCCTCTCCTGCTGATGTTCAGGTGTATATCAGTATGCAGTGTCTCTACTTTAAAGAGTCCTCTCCTGCTGATGTTCAGGTGTATATCAGTATGTAGTGTCTCTACTTTAAAGAGTCCTCTCCTGCTGATGTTCAGGTGTATATCAGTATGTAGTGTCTCTACTTTAAAGAGTCCTCTCCTGCTGATGTTCAGGTGTATATCAGTATGTAGTGTCTCTACTTTAAAGAGTCCTCTCCTGCTGATGTTCAGGTGTATATCAGTATGTAGTGTCTCTACTTTAAAGAGTCCTCTCCTGCTGATGTTCAGGTGTATATCAGTATGTATTGTCTCTACTTTAAAGAGTCCTCTCCTGCTGATGTTCAGGTGTATATCAGTATGTAGTGTCTCTACTTTAAAGAGTCCTCTCCTGCTGATGTTCAGGTGTATATCAGTATGTAGTGTCTCTACTTTAAAGAGTCCTCTCCTGCTGATGTTCAGGTGTATATCAGTATGTAGTGTCTCTACTTTAAAGAGTCCTCTCCTGCTGATGTTCAGGTGTATATCAGTATGTAGTGTCCTCTACTTTAAAGAGTCCTCTCCTGCTGATGTTCAGGTGTATATCAGTATGTAGTGTCTCTACTTTAAAGAGTCCTCTCCTGCTGATGTTCAGGTGTATATCAGTATGTCGTGTCTCTACTTTAAAGAGTCCTCTCCTGCTGATGTTCAGGTGTATATCAGTATGTAGTGTCTCTACTTTAAAGAGTCCTCTCCTGCTGATGTTCAGGTGTATATCAGTATGTAGTGTCTCTACTTTAAAGAGTCCTCTCCTGCTGATGTTCAGGTGTATATCAGTATGTAGTGTCTCTACTTTAAAGAGTCCTCTCCTGCTGGATGTTCAGGTGTATATCAGTATGCAGTGTCTCTACTTTAAAGAGTCCTCTCCTGCTGATGTTCAGGTGTATATCAGTATGTAGTGTCTCTACTTTAAAGAGGTCCTCTCCTGCTGATGTTCAGGTGTATATCAGTATGTAGTGTCTCTACTTTAAAGAGTCCTCTCCTGCTGATGTTCAGGTGTTATATCAGTATGCAGTGTCTCTACTTTAAAGAGTCCTCTCCTGCTGATGTTCAGGTGTATATCAGTATGTAGTGTCTCTACTTTAAAGAGTCCTCTCCTGCTGATGTTCAGGTGTATATCAGTATGTAGTGTCTCTACTTTAAAGAGTCCTCTCCTGCTGATGTTCAGGTGTATATCAGTATGTAGTGTCTCTACTTTAAAGAGTCCTCTCCTGCTGATGTTCAGGTGTATATCAGTATGTAGTGTCTCTACTTTAAAGAGTCCTCTCCTGCTGATGTTCAGGTGTATATCAGTATGTATTGTCTCTACTTTAAAGAGTCCTCTCCTGCTGATGTTCAGGTGTATATCAGTATGTAGTGTCTCTACTTTAAAGAGTCCTCTCCTGCTGATGTTCAGGTGTATATCAGTATGTAGTGGTCTCTACTTTAAAGAGTCCTCTCCTGCTGATGTTCAGGTGTATATCAGTAAGTAGTGTCTCTACTTTAAAGAGTCCTCTCCTGCTGATGTTCAGGTGTATATCAGTATGTAGTGACTCTACTTTAAAGAGTCCTCTCCTGCTGATGTTCAGGTGTATATCAGTATGTAGTGTCTCTACTTTAAAGAGTGCTCTCCTGCTGATGTTCAGGTGTATATCAGTATGTAGTGTCTCTACTTTAAAGAGTGCTCTCCTGCTGATGTTCAGGTGTTTATCAGTATGTAGTGTCTCTACTTTAAAGAGTCCTCTCCTGTTGATGTTCAGGTGTATATCAGTATGTAGTGTCTCTACTTTAAAGAGTCCTCTCCTGCTGATGTTCAGGTGTTTATCAGTATGTAGTGTATCTACTTTAAAGAGTCCTCTCCTGTTGATGTTCAGGTGTATATCAGTATGTAGTGTCTCTACTTTAAAGAGTCCTCTCCTGCTGATGTTCAGGTGTATATCAGTATGTAGTGTCTCTACTTTAAAGAGTCCTCTCCTGCTGATGTTCAGGTGTATATCAGTATGTAGTGTATCTACTTTAAAGAGTCCTCTCCTGCTGATGTTCAGGTGTATATCAGTATGTATTGTCTCTACTTTAAAGAGTCCTCTCCTGTTGATGTTCAGGTGTATATCAGTATGTAGTGTCTGTACTTTAAAGAGTCCTCTCCTGCTGATGTTCAGGTGTATATCAGTATGCAGTGTCTCTACTTTAAAGAGTCCTCTCCTGCTGATGTTCAGGTGTATATCAGTATGTAGTGTCTCAACTTTAAAGAGTCCTCTCCTGCTGATGTTCAGGTGTATATCAGTATGTAGTGTCTCTACTTTAAAGAGTCATCTCCTGCTGATGTTCAGGTGTATATCAGTATGTAGTGGCTCAACTTTAAAGAGTCCTCTCCTGCTGATGTTCAGGTGTGTATCAGTATGTAGTGTCTCTACTTTAAAGAGTCATCTCCTGCTGATGTTCAGGTGTATATCAGTATGCAGTGTCTCTACTTTAAAGAGTCCTCTCCTGCTGATGTTCAGGTGTATATCAGTATGCAGTGTCTCTACTTTAAAGAGTCCTCTCCTGCTGATGTTCAGGTGTATATCAGTATGTAGTGTCTCTACTTTAAAGAGTCCTCTCCTGCTGATGTTCAGGTGTATATCAGTATGTAGTGTCTCTACTTTAAAGAGTCCTGTCCTGCTGATGTTCAGGTGTATATCAGTACGTAGTGTCTCTACTTTAAAGAGTCCTGTCCTGCTGATGTTCAGGTGCATATCAGTATGTAGTGTCTCTACTTTAAAGAGTCCTCTCCTGCTGATGTTCAGGTGTATATCAGTATGTAGTGTCTCTACTTTAAAGAGTCCTGTCCTGCTGATGTTCAGGTGTATATCAGTATGTAGTGTCTCTACTTTAAAGAGTCATCTCCTGCTGATGTTCAGGTGTATATCAGTATGTAGTGTCTCTACTTTAAAGAGTCCTCTCCTGCTGATGTTCAGGTGTATATCAGTATGTAGTGTCTCTACTTTAAAGAGTCCTCTCCTGCTGATGTTCAGGTGTATATCAGTATGTATTGTCTCTACTTTAAAGAGTCCTCTCCTGCTGATGTTCAGGTGTATATCAGTATGTAGTGTCTCTACTTTAAAGAGTCCTCTCCTGCTGATGTTCAGGTGTATATCAGTATGTAGTGTCTCTACTTTAAAGAGTCCTCTCCTGCTGATGTTCAGGTGTATATCAGTATGTAGTGTCTCTACTTTAAAGAGTCCTCTCCTGCTGATGTTCAGGTGTATATCAGTATGTAGTGTCTCTACTTTAAAGAGTGCTCTCCTGCTGATGTTCAGGTGTATATCAGTATGTAGTGTCTCTACTTTAAAGAGTGCTCTCCTGCTGATGTTCAGGTGTTTATCAGTATGTAGTGTCTCTACTTTAAAGAGTCCTCTCCTGTTGATGTTCAGGTGTATATCAGTATGTAGTGTCTCTACTTTAAAGAGTCCTCTCCTGCTGATGTTCAGGTGTTTATCAGTATGTAGTGTATCTACTTTAAAGAGTCCTCTCCTGTTGATGTTCAGGTGTATATCAGTATGTAGTGTCTCTACTTTAAAGAGTCCTCTCCTGCTGATGTTCAGGTGTATATCAGTATGTAGTGTCTCTACTTTAAAGAGTCCTCTCCTGCTGATGTTCAGGTGTATATCAGTATGTAGTGTATCTACTTTAAAGAGTCCTCTCCTGCTGATGTTCAGGTGTATATCAGTATGTATTGTCTCTACTTTAAAGAGTCCTCTCCTGTTGATGTTCAGGTGTATATCAGTATGTAGTGTCTGTACTTTAAAGAGTCCTCTCCTGCTGATGTTCAGGTGTATATCAGTATGCAGTGTCTCTACTTTAAAGAGTCCTCTCCTGCTGATGTTCAGGTGTATATCAGTATGTAGTGTCTCAACTTTAAAGAGTCCTCTCCTGCTGATGTTCAGGTGTATATCAGTATGTAGTGTCTCTACTTTAAAGAGTCATCTCCTGCTGATGTTCAGGTGTATATCAGTATGTAGTGGCTCAACTTTAAAGAGTCCTCTCCTGCTGATGTTCAGGTGTGTATCAGTATGTAGTGTCTCTACTTTAAAGAGTCATCTCCTGCTGATGTTCAGGTGTATATCAGTATGCAGTGTCTCTACTTTAAAGAGTCCTCTCCTGCTGATGTTCAGGTGTATATCAGTATGCAGTGTCTCTACTTTAAAGAGTCCTCTCCTGCTGATGTTCAGGTGTATATCAGTATGTAGTGTCTCTACTTTAAAGAGTCCTCTCCTGCTGATGTTCAGGTGTATATCAGTATGTAGTGTCTCTACTTTAAAGAGTCCTGTCCTGCTGATGTTCAGGTGTATATCAGTACGTAGTGTCTCTACTTTAAAGAGTCCTGTCCTGCTGATGTTCAGGTGTATATCAGTATGTAGTGTCTCTACTTTAAAGAGTCCTCTCCTGCTGATGTTCAGGTGTATATCAGTATGTAGTGTCTCTACTTTAAAGAGTCCTCTCCTGCTGATGTTCAGGTGTATATCAGTATGTAGTGTCTCTACTTTAAAGAGTCCTCTCCTGCTGATGTTCAGGTGTATATCAGTATGTAGTGTCTCTACTTTAAAGAGTCCTCTCCTGCTGATGTTCAGGTGTATATCAGTATGTAGTGTCTCTACTTTAAAGAGTCCTCTCCTGCTGATGTTCAGGTGTATATCAGTATATAGTGTCTCTACTTTAAAGAGTCCTCTCCTGCTGATGTTCAGGTGTATATCAGTATGTAGTGTCTCTACTTTAAAGAGTCCTCTCCTGCTGATGTTCAGGTGTATTTAAGCATCTTTGAGCATTAGGAAAAGCGCTATAAAAACCCATGTATTATTATTATTATTATTATATAAAATACATTTTAAGTCCGTTTGAAGCCATTTCTTTGTTTCTGTCTCAGGATCCGTATTGCAGGGATTAAGGGTCTGCAGGGCGTTGTGAGGAAGACGGTGAACGACGAGCTGCAGGCCATCATCTGGGAGCCTCAGCATATGGACAAACTGATCCCCTCCATGCTGTTCAACATGCAGGACAGCGACGACCTGGACAGGTACTACACACACACACACACACACACACACACACACACACACACACACACACACACACACACACACACACAATCACAAAGGCAAACACATTCAGACAGCTGTTACCAATGTAAACACAAATATGGCTTTACCCTCCTGCCCTTGAGCTTCACTTGATCATAACTCACGTCAGAAAAACACCTTTCTTTGCCTACATTTCTCTTATCACATGTGGGCAGTGTTGTGGGAGATTTACTGCTCTTACAGTCCTGTTGTGATTCCTCCTTCCTGTCACTTTGAGTTAACAAGGAGGGTTAAGAATCAGAAGGTGTTCAAGGTCATTGCAGTTAGTTTTAGAAAGACAGTATGGAGAGCAATGTGGACAATGTATTTGTATATACGAGGTTCTGCAGCGACAGTTCCCCCTTTAATTGCAATTATATTATAAATACGCTCTTTTAGGGAGGACAGACTGACAATGTTTTACTGTAATTTGATTGTATTTTTCCACTGGCTAAACTTCTGGCAGATGACTCAGCAGGTTGTACAATAAATGAACTACAAATTAAATCTAGTGGAGCTAACAATAGTAAGCTAGGCTAACTAGCTTCAGCCCTCTTTAACTTAACGGCATGATGAATTCCACGGGTTGATACCAACAACATATAGCTAACATTATGAAAACCAGCTGTAAAGGATGACTGAAATAAGTTCTGTGATTAACACAAGCTGAAGAAATGTTCTACAACCTAATATACGTCAGTAAATATTCCATTGGTTCATTTGAAGTGTCTAAATGAGACGGCTAAACTTCATCGTGTCCAACATTAGCCGCCTTTAGCTTAGCGGTGGTGACGTGAAGTCATGTGACCGTGCTGTAGTTCCTTTATAGCCCAACATTAGCTGCCTTTAGCTTAGCGGTGGTGATGTGAAGTCATGTGACTGTGCTGTAGTTCCTTTATAGCCCAACATTAGCCGCCTTTAGCTTAGTGGTGGTGACGTGAAGTCATGTGACCGTGCTGTAGTTCCTTTATAGCCCAACATTAGCCACCTTTAGCTTAGCGGTGGTGACGTGAAGTCATGTGACCGTGCTGTAGTTCCTTTATAGCCCAACATTAGCCGCCTTTAGCTTAGCGGTGGTGACGTGAAGTCATGTGACCGTGCTGTAGTTCCTTTATAGCCCAACATTAGCCGCCTTTAGCTTAGCGGTGGTGACGTGAAGTCATGTGACCGTGCTGTAGTTCCTTTATAGCCCAACATTAGCCACCTTTAGCTTAGCGGTGGTGACGTGAAGTCATGTGACCGTGCTGTAGTTCCTTTATAGCCCAACATTAGCCGCCTTTAGCTTAGCGATGGTGACGTGAAGTCATGTGACCGTGCTGTAGTTCCTTTATAGCCCAACATTAGCCACCTTTAGCTTAGCGGTGGTGACGTGAAGTCATGTGACCGTGCTGTAGTTCCTTTATAGCCCAACATTAGCCGCCTTTAGCTTAGCGGTGGTGACGTGAAGTCATGTGACCGTGCTGTAGTTCCTTTATAACCCAACATTAGCCACCTTTAGCTTAGCGGTGGTGACGTGAAGTCATGTGACCGTGCTGTAGTTCCTTTATAGCCCAACATTAGCCACCTTTAGCTTAGCGATGGTGACGTGAAGTCATGTGACCGTGCTGTAGTTCCTTTATAGCCCAACATTAGCCACCTTTAGCTTAGCGGTGGTGACGTGAAGTCATGTGACCGTGCTGTAGTTCCTTTATAGCCCAACATTAGCTCTGAACTTTAACCTCTGTAACTCCGGCTGCCTGCAGTGTGAGGAGAGGTCCTCCAGCTGTTGGATCAGTGTCGGCTGCAGGAAAATAAACCTCGGTCTGAACTCGATCCCGGGAATTAAAGCCGCCGCTCTCCTCAGACCTCGTTATATTCTTTCGATCCTCAAACCCGGCTCTGCAGGAGGCAGAAATCCTGGACATGTGAAGAGTGTCTGCATCTCCTCATCCCCTCAGATTCTGGGAATGGGAACGCTGCTCGCTGTTTTTAGGCCGGGAGGATTTATGACCGAGATCAACGAGGACAGGAAGCTTAACGCTGGGCTCACCTGTCGACCCACCTTAAGTCCTTTTTATTTATTCTTACTCATGTTTTCACCTTCATGTATTCTTTGTTCTCCAGAGCCCTCTTCTCTCTGTTATATTCTCATCTCCCACATAGTAAGACAATCTGAAAATACTTTATTTATCCCAGCGGGAAATTGGGTTTTGTGACAGTTGCTTCATTATATAATAGAATATATATTAATAATCAACATAACCAACATTACATATTGATAGACATCAGGAGTACAAATGTGCACAATTTCTTTCCACAAAATATAAGTCAAACTTTCGAAATAATCAGTTTTCATAAAATGTAGAAAGACCCTGGTATCTATACAAGGACATAAGGGTAGTGTTCCAGAAGTAAGGGACAACTATATAGGGTTTAAGGCGGAGAGGAACTCCCTCTGAAGGGGACACAGGGATTTTAGTCTTTGCAGACCATTTACATGCACTAAAACCTATAGAACACACTACAGGAGTGGGAACACCCCCCAAAACAAAGCATCATATATAGACAATGCTGCATTTGCAACTCGACCAAGTGAAATATATGCAATTATCAATTTCTTTACCTGGAAAAAGTGGCAAAACAAGCCCAACAACTTCCTACAGGGTTGTATGCATGATTCAACAAAGAAAGTCCCATTGACGTCAGAACCACCTGGCCAAGGAAATAGCTTACTAACAAAATATGTCAAAACAGATGAAACACTACAGCAAAACCCACAATATTAAAAACAACAAGCCTTCATGTATTTCTACTCCTCATCTTGTCATCCCTTCTCCTCCCTTTCAGTTTGAATTCCCTCTCCTTTCTTTCTGCTCTCACTGTGACTTCCTCTCTGTCTCACTCGGGTGGTTTCCATGTGAACTAAAATCTATTTTTGGACTCTGTTCTTCTTTCTTCTGAGTTTGTCTTCTTCTCCTGCTGACTTTTCTCTACCTAAAGCCCTACAAGTAGCTGCATCTCCTGTCATCACATGTGGAGGAGTTAAGGGGTTAGGAGGTGATCCGACCCCACCAGGAGTCTCCATCATTATTTGGTGTTTGGAGGAGATTGTGTCTGGGTGATGGATCTCCTTAAACCCTAAAAAGACTGGTGCAGGAATGAGTCCTAAAACTGGGGAGAAAAACACATCTTTGTACCACTTCATGTCTCCTGGTCTGGAAGTCAATGGTTTCCTGAATGTGTTTTTTGGCCTGAAATAAGGTCTGTGGTTAACACAAGCTGAAGAGATTTTATTCTACAACATAAAACACGTCAGGAAATATTCCACTGCTGAATTTAAAAACTGACAAGTGTCTAAATGAGACAACTAAACGTCATCACGCCCAACATTAGCCACCTTTAGCTTAGCGGTGGTGACGTGAAGTCATGTGACCGTGCTGTAGTTCCTTTATAGCCCAACATTAGCCACCTTTAGCTTAGCGGTGGCGACGTGAAGTCATGTGACTGTGCTGTAGTTCCTCTATAGCCCAACATTAGCCGCCTTTAGCTTAGCGGTGGTGACGTGAAGTCATGTGACCGTGCTGTAGTTCCTCTATAGCCCAACATTAGCCTCCTTTAGCTTAGCGGTGGTGACGTGAAGTCATGTGACCGTGCTGTAGTTCCTTTATAGCCCAACATTAGCCTCCTTTAGCTTAGCGGTGGTCACGTGAAGTCATGTGACCGTGCTGTAGTTCCTTTATAGCCCAACATTAGCCACCTTTAGCTTAGCGGTGGTGACGTGAAGTCATGTGACCGTACTGTAGTTCCTTTATAGCCCAACATTAGCCGCCTTTAGCTTAGCGGTGGTAACGTGAAGTCATGTGACCGTGCTGTAGTTCCTTTATAGCCCAACATTAGCCTCCTTTAGCTTAAGTGGTGTTTATAGAGCGGTGCAGGCATGACGTATTTACCTAAATTAAGCTGCTGGTTCCCTCGACTAAAAAGCAACGGGATTTCTCCATAGGATTTTGAAAAGAGCTCGAAATAAGATCTGTGGAAAACGAAGCTGTTTGATAAATGCACGTTTTGTTCAGCCGGATAATCTCCACATGTCTTCCCTACTTTTATAATTTTCGAATCATAAATCAAATCGAAGCAAAATGCTAACGTTATGCTATAAAGGAACTACAGCGAGTCCAGCAGCACGACTTCAACGTCACGCCAACTTCAGATCCATATTCAAACATACAGATTCTAGATGGAACGAGTTGAAGCGTTTGTTTGAACAGTCCGCAGGAGGCAGGGACTTGCTTTCAAGCAGAACAGAAACTAACTTAGAGGAGTGTTTACGTGTTCGGCGTAATGACGTACAACGGCCTCCACGACTTCTGTAGTCCTATTCAGCCACTTGGTAACAACCATCGTTTTTCAGACACGTCCACTCTTCAGAAATCACCAGTGGGGTCACTGCTGATGGATTTAATGTCGTAGAACAAAACGTGATCCGTCTCTTCAATGTGTCTCAACCACAGACCTTAGTTCAGCTAGTTTCCTAAACCCTATGGAGAGATCCCATTGGCTCTGAGACGAGGGAACAGGAAGTGGAGAAATGCTGACTCACTTCCTGGTTTTAGGACTCGTCACTGCACCGCTCTATATGTGGAGATTATCCTGATGAACTAAATGTGTAAGAATCATAAAAGTTTGTTTGAAAAAGAGATTATGTTCTGACATAATCCAAAATCACATGGAGAAATCCCATTGAACCAGGGAGATGCTGCCTTCAGGGCCCAACACAGAAATACGACATCCTTGCACAGCTTTATTGTTGGCGTCTACAAATTTGTCAAACCAACCGTGACGATATAAATATAGCACACTTTTGGGATGTATTCCCCCCTTTTTTAACTCTGCATTTGCATAACAGGCCTCTCTTTGATGGGATGTGTCACTCTCTGCATCAAAGGAATCACCTTCCCAACAACCTTCACCAAGTGTG